TGGCGCTCTGGGGGCCTCTGGTTGCCCCGCAAATCTATCCCCTCGGGCCAGAGGGGGCTAGGAGGAGGGGGAGGAGGAGGAGGAGGAGGGGGAGGAGGGGGGAGGGGGAGGAGGGAGGAGGAGGAGGAGGAGGGGAGAGAGGAGGAGAGGAGGAGGAGGAGGAGGAGGAGGAGGAGGAGGAGGATGGAGGAGGAGGGGGGGGGGAGGAGGAGGAGGAGGAGAGGAGTAGGAGGAGGAGGAGGAGGGAGGAGGAGGGAGAGGTAGGAGGAGGAGGAGGAGGAGAGGAGGAGGAGGGCGGAGGATGAGGAGGAGGAGGAGGAGGAGGAGGAGGTAGGAGGAGGGAGAAGGGAGGAGGGAGATGGGAGGAGAGATGGGGGGGGAGCGTGGCCACGTGAGCGACGACAGGAAGCGGGCCCTCCGCACAACGACACAGCGACCTTGCGCGGCGGCTTGCGCGGGCCGCCAGCGCGGCACGCCACGTTGGAAACGAGGGCGCTGATGCGCGACCTTCCGCGGGCAGCTCACGCACGAACGTCCGCGCAGTCGAGCCCGTGTTCTCCCGCTGCTCATGTGCACCTCAGTGCGTTCCCAGACATGCGACGTCCTGACTTTTTCAGGACGGCGTCCCTGGAAGTCCCGACCCTTTCCCCGGGACCGGTTTTTCGTCCTGAGTCGTTATTTGACGGTCTTGGGGCCCGGCGAGGGCCCCCAGGGGCCCTGACTTTTTTGTTTACGACCTGATCTTTTCCTTGCGAACAACCTTCGTCCTGATTTTTTTTACGACGCGATCACTTCTGGGTTTGATGCAAGGATCGTCGCCGCCCGCACCAAACACGCAGCCTGTATTGAGGCGAGAGCACTGCACGCGCGGTGAGGAAAGCTCCAGCGAAGCGGCTGCCGGCGCTGGGCGGTCTCGGGCTCCCCGCCCCCCCCGTGGGACTCTTCCGTGGACCGATGATGATGATGATGATGATGATGATGATGATGATGATGATGATGATGATGATGATGATGATGATGATGATGATGGTGATGATGATGATGATGATGATGATGATAATGATGTTGATGAGGATGAGGATGAGGATGATGAGAACCCTCCACCGTAGCGCCATCGAAGAACGACCGCACACGCGCATGCTGCTGGAGGTCTGCGTGGACTTCTCGGCTAGGCGCCGGGCCCGCCCCTGGCGCGCTCCGCGCGCCGTGGAGGCGGGGCCCGGCGCCGGCCATCCCGAGAGTCTACCGCAGGAGCCCGACCACAAGAAACCGTCCACCAGAAACCCAACCCCGAGACCCCAGGACGTCCATGGGTTTTCGGGGAGGGAGCGTCACGCTCCCCATCGCATATGGCCATCGAAACGCAAGAAACCCGGGGCATCCTGGAGGCAGGCAGGGTTGAGCGTCCTTCTCTCGCTCTTCCTGAGCTTGCGCGTCGCAACTTCTACAGTCTCTGGCGGCTGTCTGGGGCGATCTGTGCACCCCAGGGCCTAGGGGCGCCCTCGGCGAAGCGCAGCTGCTGGAGAGCACCCCGAGGCGGCTGGGAAGCCTCCAGGAACCAACGACAGCACTGGCTGGAAAGCCCCCCCTGAGATCCGACGTCGCGAGCAAAATTGCTCCGTCGCGAAAAGTCACGACGGGAGCCCTAGACCCGATCTTTCTGCTGCATTTTTCGAGCCGGACCGGTCTGTGATGGTCCCAGAGCCCGAAACCGGGCGATGACGCCCGCCCTGACTCCGGATCCGCCGTACTTTTTGGGTGATGTCGTGAGCAGGGCGGACATTCCCGTCCTACATGTCATGCTCCTCTGATGCCGACTTCTGCCCTTCTTTGCCGCCACTGTTTCCACTATACGTTTGCGGAAATATCCGCCCTCCTTTTCTGAGACGGAAATCTCCGCTCTGTGTTTTCGCATCGTGTGGGGTGCACTTCCGAGGCAAGCTGAGTCGGAACATCGACCAAAGTATGGCGGATCCGGTGTCTGGATCTCGGGAGGCGCGAGGGCTTCTGAGAAGGTCCGCCGCCTTCCGAGAAGGCCTTCTCCTTCGCACTTCCCCCCCCTCGCTTGCCGCCGAACCACCCGATGGCGAGGGACACGCGGCGAGATCAAGGGGGGGGCGCAGGGGGCGATCTCGCTCGGCATCGCCCGGAGGAACACCAAAGCGAGCTTCGTCGCTTACCTGCATTGCCTGCGCGTCCTGGCTGACATAGATTGCATCCACCAACGGTCCATCATCGTCGTCTTCCTCCTCCCCTCGTCCTCCCGGCGCGCCTTTGGCGCGTCGTCGCTGTCTTGTCGCGCGTTGGGCGCCTCCTGTCCGCCAGCGAACGCGTCTGGCGTTGCTCGCACGCTCGCCAATTGTCTTGCCCACGCGCGTTTTGCGTATGGCTGCCTCGTTCGTTCATCACTAATTACCTGTTTCGCCCCGTCAGAGCCAAATTTTCGGCCGCAGCCCCTGCCCTTTGAACGCCTGAAAGGGGTACGGAAAATAGGCAAACACCTTATATAAACATAAACACTCGGGGGTCCGCGCGGATTTATTGGATCGGCGCTTGAGCCCCCTAGCGGCGCCTCTGGCGCTACCCCTGGCACACTCCGCGCGCCAGGGAGGGGGCCCCAGCGCAGATCCAAGAGATCCGCGCGGACCCACGAACGTTTATGTTGTTCATGCTGTTTGCTGCTGCTCGATGACAAGTCCTCGGCCGCCAGTGATTCTTGTACGACGCGAACCTGTCTGGGCTTTTGGACCACCACTCGGCTCTACCGCAGCAGTTCGGGACGATCTCGGCGCCCAGGAACGCCATCGGCGAGGCGCAGCTGCTGCAACGCACCCCGAGGCCGGAAAGCCGCTGAGAACCGACGAAGACGCCCGAAAACCGCCGAGAATCCGCCAGGTGTTCGGCCTCAGCCCCCGCCCGTTCGGCCACGCACAAAGCAGTGACCCTGGGCAAGGGTGACCTCAGGAGCGTGGCTTCTGGGCCGTTGCATGCAGTGCGACAGCAGCGGCCTGTGTGATTGGGCTTGGCCCTGCAGCGCCCCCCGAAAGCCGCGCGCACCAAAAGCCACTCTGGCGAAGGGTCGACCCGAGCTGATAAGTCCTAACTGACAACTCCTCAGCCGCCCAGCACGGGGAGTAGGAGGAGAAGAAGAAGGAGGAGGAGGAGGAGAAGGAGGAGGAGGAGGAAGAGGAGAAGGGAGGAGGAGGAGGAGGAGGAGGTGGAGGAGGACGAGAAGGAGGAGAAGGAGGAGAAGCATGAGGCGAAGCAGGAGGAGGAGGAGGAGGAGGAGGAGGAGGAGGAGGAGGGAGGAGGACGTCCATGTGAAGCGGCCGGGGCACGACCTCCACTGCCTCCACAACGGCGGCCAGCGGTCCGGATACCAGGTCTGCAAGCAGGTAGTCGACCTGAAGGGCCTCCATGGTCTCATGTGCAAGCGAGGGGGCCTCGTGGTGGGCAGGCACGACGCTCTTCGGGATGTCCTGGCCGGCCTCATCACGGAGCACATGGGTGTTTCCGTCCACACCGAGCAGCACCCGCCCGGCGAGCTTCCTGACGAACGTTGCCCAGACATCGATTACTACGACAAGCGGTTGGTGCGGCAGTTCCTGGACGTCGCGGTGGTCACGCCCCACGTCAGGGCACTCCCCGGAGACGCGTGCCTGCACCGGGCTGGGGCGCTCATCGAGCGCGAGCAGAGCAACAAGAGGCGCAAGTACCACATGCTCAGCCTAACGCCCTTTGTGCTCTCGCATCTCGGCCGCATGGGCGGGGGATGCCAGGAGATGGTGAGAGCCTTCGCCAGTGGTCTTCCGGAGCGCGAGCGGTCGGCCGCCATCGACGGGTGCTACCAGCACCTGGCGGCGACGCTCCAGCGCGGCAACGTGGCACTCTTGGCCGCGTCTGCGCCCCTCATCCTCTAGATCCCCTCGCCCCCCCCTCCCTCCTCCCCCTCCTCCCCCCCTTCCCCGTCTTCGTTTTGTGTGTTCGTGAATTCTTGGCGCTCGGTCTTTGGTCTGAAGCCTCCAAAATGCGCTTCAGGAAAACCTCCCCTAAGGATCCTTACCGGGGGGGTTCTGTCAGGGGTGATTTTGTGCATTTTCCGTCTCTGGAGGCTCCGGCGTTCGTCCCAGGCCTTAGATCTTGCTTCGCTTTTGTTTCGTTTCGGTCGCTCCTGCGCTTTCGCGCGTCCCGCCTTCCTCTGGTTTTGCTGCGTTGGGCTGCCTGTGTTCTCAGGGCCTGGCCTCCCTTCGTCGGGGAGGGCGGCGGAGTGTCTGAATAAGAGTGCTCCGCGGCTGATCGGCTCGGCCCCGAAGGGGGCGCGACGATGAGTACTGGCGTGGACGTGCGTTCCTCACACGCCTGCCCCAGTGGACACCCGTTCCAAAGAGGGACGGGTGCTGGGGCTGCGACAGCAAGAGGAGGAGGAGGCGGAGGAGGAGGAGGAGGAGGAGGAGGAGGAGGAGGAGGACGGAGAGGAGGAAAGGAGGAGGAGGGGTAGGGAGGAGGATGAGGGAGGAGGAGGTGAGGATGATGATGATGATTGATGATGATGATTAGGCAGATTGGGGAGAGGAGGAGGAGGAGGAAGTGGTTGGCGATGAGGAAGGAGGAGGAGTTAGGAGGAGGCGAGGAGGATTAGGATGAGGAGGAGGAGGGATGAGGGAGGAGGAGGGGAGGGAGAGGATGAGGGGGAATTAGGAGGAGAGGAGGGGAGGAGGAGGAGGAGGTAGGAGGAAGGAGGAGGAGGGAGGGTGAGGAGAGGGGGAGGGGGGGAGGAGGAGGAGGGGGGGAGGGGAGGGGGAGGAGGAGGGTGAGTAGGGGAGGAGGAGGAGGAGGAGAGGAAGGAGAAGGAGGCGGAGAGAGGGAGGAGGAGGAGGAGGAAGGAGGAGGAAGAATGAGGGAGGAGGAAGGGGAGAAGGGGAGGAGCTCGGGCTGGACTAACGGACAGGATAGGGGAGGAGGGGGAGGAAATCAACAGCCCACCCGCCGGCGACAAAGTCCTCGGTAGCCCAGCCCGGCGGCAGCTCCGCGGCCCCGAGGGCGCGCCACCGCCCGTCCGCGGCACGCCACCCGGCCCCAGCCTCCGCCTCGCCGCCCGCCCGCCAGCCGGGCGGCGCCAGCGCCAGCCCGGCCTGAGCAGCGGGAGAGAGCTGTCCTCCCTTCCTCCCGTCCTTCCTCCCTCCTCCTCCTCCTCCTCCTCCTCGCTTTCTCGCTTCCTCGCTTCCTCCTTTCCTCCTTTCCTCCCCTTTCCTCCCTT